GCCTAACTGACTAGTGTTGCATCACTAACAAACCATTGCCTGCCTGAAATGTTCACTGAACTCTCCAAACCTCACCCTGGAGCAAGTTTATAACCCACATTCTCTATTACCCAGAGGGGCTAGGGAAGCAGATTATTGTTACGTACAATCAAAAATAAAGGCTATTCCCAAGGATAAGTACTGCTCACAAGGATACAAGTCATTAAGACTACCATGACCAAGACTATGGATCCTGCTCCATCATGTTAGACCTTTAAATGCTGTAAGTATATCAATTCAATTCTTTTAGAAACAAATAATCTTGTCACCATACAAAAGGGATGCTACATGTTTAGCCATGTCCCAAAAGTTGAGAATACAAACCTCGTCATATGAACATCTAATGAAGACTGAATGGTAATATATAACAACATCATTGCAAAGAACTGAGCTGTCCCTTCAACCCCTCCAACCATCAATGATTGCTAACTGGAGGGCATGCCAGGATAATACACCTTTTTTACAGAGACAGTCCCAATAAATAAATATTGAATTAAATGAATTAAATATAATGTGACATTTTTACATGACAATAAGTGTACAGTGGTTGAATGCCCATGCCATCTTTGTGCCCCTGTAACTTCTTAAATCTCCTTTTCCTCTCATAGTCTTGATGCTAAGTTGGAGGAAGGCTGCTGGGAGTGATGCCGCATTTGCTTGCAATAATTTTTGTAGCCATCCTGTGGCGTTCTAAGCCCTTGAGTGCTCAGGCCTAATGAGAATGCCTTGCACAGATGCAGGAGCAACATTCTTGACCTGACTTACTATAGGCTTCAGGGCCACCAGTAAAAGAGACAAGAAGTGGCCATTCATCCTGGGAGTGCCATGAGAGGACACACTTCCCTACCATCCTCCCCATCCCTACGGTGGCTAGATCAGTGCTCTTCCTCCCTCTTGCTGTGACAATGACATTTACTGGTATCCTGAAAGAGAATGAGGATATGGAAGAAGGTTCCAAGGCCTCATGCCCTGTTGTATTAGGTCCAGGACCATATGCTGGACCTAGACTTCTACGGCAGTCACCAGCCTCTCCAAGCGTAAGTCATCCATGTTCACGTCTGAGAAATGACACAGATCATAACTCGGAAGATTTCCTCTATTATCCGTTAAAAGTTATGCATTGCCTCTGACATCTCTGCCAATTGTTCCTCTGCCTTTTTCTGTATGTCCAGTAGGCTTCTTGTGGTCATTCTCAGAGGTTTCTATTCAGCTTGGGATTCAGCATTAGTGCATCCAAGTATCAGAGGTCTCAGCTGTCACAGCCTCTGTCAGCAACTGGAAGATGCCAACTAGCAAATGCCCCAAATTCTACATGTTATCCCTTCAATGCCCATGTGAGTGTAACTGAGTGGGTGGCAGTTGTGGAAGTGGCAAGTGATGGTGACTTTTTCTGGGTCTTGGGTCTCATCGTCCTCAGATGTAGAGTTGTCGTTATCATCTGGTAGCTATGGTGTATGATCCAGATTATGAGGAGCAGTACGGGAAACTCAAAGAAAATCATTAAAATCCAGCACCATCTATGAACACATCACATTCTCACAGTGTCTCTGTATGAGATTGCATTTATTCTCGCAATGATATCTGGCCTATTCATCCTTGTCATCAGCAATGGCATGGCTGCCCTACTCTACAGTGATCTCCACCACCTCTTTCTCAACTGGGGTCATAATATTTACATGTGACACACCTCCACAAGTCTTGGGCGTCTCTCGGTCTTACATTCTGAAGTTGCTTCTCCTGAATGACACAATAGAGATATAGTGGCATGTCAATTGGGATCTAACCAAGAGCACCACCCCCCACCTTCCACCCTGTCTGCATGCAACCACATGTTACATATGGCCTCATGTCTTGTAATTTATGTCAAATCAATTTCTCAAGCAATCTCAATGAGAAACTTTGATGCCTATGTATGGGTGAAATTCATTACAACAAGAAAGAAAATGAATTCATTTTCACCAAAATGACAGTGATCAGAAGTTCCTGAAAACAAATGATTAAAGAAACAACAAATAGCATTAAGGTAGAAGTAATAATTGGGTTGCATTTTACACATACACAAGGTTTGGCATGTGGGCAGGTTTGTAAAATTAGGTGCAATGCCATGAGCATATTCTTGACATCTATCTTCCATCCTGCCCTGCTAGAATTCTATATGGAGTGGGGGAAGCACTCTTCCACCCAAGAATTATTTGAAGCTTTCTGTTCTTACACTGCTGCAATTTTCCCATAGTTAGCAAGACCAGCATCAAGTGGGATGCTTAGCAGCTTTCTCTGCTCATACTGGTAATAGGTAGGTCATCTCCTGAGTTAATTGATGGGTCCCCTCAAGGTTTTTCCAGCTTGTTCACCCAGACTACAATCCCACTTACCTTCCTTTCCAGGGCCTGTCAGCCTAGCCTTGACGATACCCTTTGTGTTAACCATATCATTTAGCTTCATGTTTAGCTCCAGCATTTATGTTCAAATTGTTTTTGTGACGGAGATATGTTAATCAAAACCACTTTAAAACAATCAAAATGCTATTAAAATTACATTTTTAAGTTCTCCCATATTAACAAAATAAAACATTGCCCTAATTATCCTGTGTTTGGCCAGCTTTACACACAATCTGCACAGTAGTTTGCAGAATACTCACATCATAATATTTGTTAATCTGTTCAGATACCAAAGAAATGCTGCAGGCCAGCTGAGATGTGTTGGTTTATAAAATACACTGGAACAGCTCCACTTCTGATAACTCTAAGCTCTTTTAAGTGGCCAAGAATGCATGTGGCTATGTTTAAATAAAGCACTGAATTTACAAGGTAGCAATACACAGAGGTTAGGTCTAGTGGCAGATACTAATAGCAGAGAGCCCTTTCCATTTCTCAAATCCATTTTAAATTAATAAGAATGTTCCATTCTGTTTTTTCATCCTCAAAGAGGTCCTTTGCATATTCATTTAATGTTATATTGATGGATTAAATTATCCAGAGCTCAAAATCAATCCAGCATATATTTATTAGACTGGACTAATCCCCTAGTGGGGATAAAGCACAGAAAATGCATTTAGAGGCGCTGATAAGGCAAGTCCCATTATATGTCATTTTAAACAAAGAGCCAAAAAAGCCTTTGGAGACGCTCTATCAGCTATTAAACAGAGACATTTCATGTGCAAGGAGATTGATGATTAGCATTTCCGATCCTGGGAAATGGTTCTTCCCCACTGATGATAACCACTAAATGCCGGTTCATTTCTCAGACACAATTATTTCTGCTGTTTCACTGGCAGACAGATGCCTAGGCCTGGCCTATATCCTTTTGTCTCTTAATCAGTGCCATTAGTTATATGTAGGTAATGCTACATCAAAGGAGACTGAGGAAACAATGTATTGGTTCAATTTGTTAAATAGAGAGGCAGAGTACGGCGAATGTGTACAGCCACATCAGCCTCCTGAAGAATTCGACCATCAGGCAACAGATTTGGTGACAAATCACATTTGATAATATTTAACAAGAGCAGTTTTATTTGCATTAAGTCAGTAAGTGAAACAGAGTGGTATCACTGCTGTGGCTCAGCTGACAGAACTCTTGCTTCTGAGTTAGAAGATTGTAGATTCAAGTCTCGTTCCAAAAGTTTAAGTCTAGGCTGGTAAAATATCTAGGCTGACACTGAGGGAGTTGAACATTGTGAGATGAGATGTTATTTGCTGTGTTAAACATTGTTAAACACTGTGAGGTGAGATGTTTGTTACATTCTTTGCTTAATGTAAAATATCCCATGGCTCTTCTTCAAGAGATTGGGAGGAGGATGCAGAAGGTCAATAACACTGTGAAGCAGACTAGGAGAGTAGCCTTGAGCTGGAAGGGCAGCAGGAGGTAAAAACTGGCAGCAGAGACCCCCGTCAACACTTGAACTATCTGAGCCAAAGTGTGACATCACAGAAAAACAGGTAGGTGTTGGTGATTGAGATAACAAGGTATAGAGCTGGATGAACACAGCAGGCCAAGCAGCATCAGAGGAGCAGGAAAGCTGATGTTTCGGGTCTAGACCCTTCTTCAGAAATGGGGGAGGGGAAGGGGATTCTGAAATAAATAGGGAGAGAGGGGCAGGCGGATAGAAGATGGATAAAGGAGAAGATAGGTGGAGAGGACACAGACAGATCAAAGAGGTGGAGATGAAGCCAGTAAAGGTGAGTATAGGTGGGGAGTTAGGGAGGTGATAGGTCAGTCCAGGGAGGATGGACAGGTCAAGGAGGTGGGATGAGGCTGGTAGGTGGGAGATGGGAGTGGGGCTTGAGGTGGGAGGAGTGGATAGATAGGAGGAAGGACGGGTTAGGGAGGCGGGGATGAGCTGGGCTGGTTTTGGGATGCGGTCAGGGGAGGGGATATTTTGAAGCTTGTGAAGTCCACATTGATACCATTGGGCTGCAGGGTTCCCAAGCGAAATATGAGGTGCTGTTCCTGCAACCTTCAGGTGGCATCGTTGTGGCACTGCAGGAGGCCCAGGATGGACATGTCATCCAAGGAGTGGGAGGGGGATTTGAAATGGTTCGTGACTGGGAGGTGTAGTCATTTGTCGCGAACCGAGCGTAGGTGTTCCACAAAGCGGTCCTCAAGCCTCCGCTTGGTTTCCCCAATGTAGAGGAGGCCACATTGGGAACAGCGGATACAGTATACCACAATAGAAGATGTGCAGGTGAACATCTGTTTGACGTGGAAGGTCTTCTTGGGGCCTGGGAGGCGTAGGGGCAGGTGTAGCACTTCCTGCTGTTGCAGGGAAAAGTGCTGGGGATGGTGGGGCTGGTGGGGACTGTGGAGCAGACATGGAGTCATGGAGAGAGTGGTCCCTCCAGAAAGCAGATAAAGGTGGGCAGGGAAAAATGTCTTTGGTAGTGGGATCAGATTGCAGATGGCAGAAGTGCCGGAGGATGATGCGTTGGATCCGGAGGTTGGTGGGGTGGTACGTGAGGATGAGGGGGATTCTTTTTTGGTTGTTATTGCAGGGAGGGAGTGCGAGGGATGACTTGCGGGAAATGCGAGAGACATGATCGAGGACGTTTCAACCACCATGGAGGGGAAGTTGCGGGCCTTGAAAAACGAGGACATCTGGGATGTCCGGGAGTGGAATGCCTCATCTCAGGAGCAGATGCGGTGGAGATGAAGGAATTGGGAATAGGGGATGGCATTTTTGCAGGAAGGTGGGTGAGAGGTGTATTCTAGGTAGCCGTGGGAGTCGATCGGCTTGAAATGGATATCGGTTTCCAGGTGATTGCCAGAGATGGAAACAGAGAGGTCCAGGAAGGAGAGAGAGGTATCAGAGATGGTCTAGGTGAACTTAAGGTTGGGGTGGAAGGTGTTGGTGAAGTGGATGAACTGTTCGAGCTCCTCGTGGGAGCACGAGGTGGCACCGATACAGTCATCGATGTAACAGAGGAAGAGGTGGGGGATAGGGCCAGTGTAGCTACGGAAGAGGGATTGTTCCATGTATCCTACGAAGAAGCAGGCATAGCTTGGGCCCATGCGGTGTTGGTGATTGGTGGGTATTTCTTCTGTGTCTATTTTGATTGGCTAAGTGGTATAATTCAGGAGATGTTATTACAGGTAGGAAATTACAGAATGGACATTCACTTTAAAATATTTAACATCCAACTTAATTAATTAAATTGAACAGAGATGACTGGACAGACAAATACTTTGCAGCTGCAGTATATGGGAGCTGTTGGAGATTGGTGTGATCCGATCAGTGTGCAGCAAGTGTTGGCTGTTCAAGAAACATCAGCTCAGAGTTACCCAGGCTCTGTGCTTCAGGAAACAGTCATACTGCCTAGATTAATTACATCAAGTTTGGTTTGTGGTCAGGGACAATAGAGAGTGACTGCAACTGAAACAGGTATTGGGAACCAGAATTTAGCTTTGTAGGAATCTCAGCCAGTGCCCTGGTCCAATCGGTACTGAAGTTCTTGCTCCCTGGAAGAGATGATGGATGAGAGCCAACTGACTAAACCAGCATGGTACACAGTACCATTCAAGTCTGGGAGAAAAAAAGAAATGT